CATTGCTCTTATATTTTATGGCTTCCAGGGGCTCTTTACGAAGGAAGTAAGTATAGCCATAACAATGCTTTGGGAAAAACTGTGCATGGCAACCTGTTTTGAAAACACTGTTTTTCACATGAAATAGATTTTGATATGGTAGGAACTCATGCATGCTGGGAATCCCATGTTTTTACAAATATTTTTAAATTCCAAATCACCTCTTTCTGCTAATGGACAAGAAATGGTTTAACAGCTGCCTTGGGGTAGCTTACAAGGTGGATGTATGGGTTGTTACTATATTCTTTTCCTAACACCTTAGAATATGTGTGTGTGTTTTTTTTTTTTAAATATTTGGAATTCACTGGGATCCAGAAATCTTTGACAAACAAACATGACTATGAGAAGCCTTTTTGTTTGTCAAGAAACACATGTAGTCCATGGTGGTCTTGTCTTCGAAGTTGAACTGTTGTCATAACGATAGTGATTCCCATGTGTTGTTGATGGTGATTTTAATTTTGTCCTGTAGAAAATGGTATCATAAAATACCTTTTTTTAAAAATAGAGTTTCCATGTTTTGGGGGTGGGCACATGCATGCATAAGAGATGTTTGCTGTGATTTTAATTAATGATAGGTAGCCAGACCTTTAATAAAAACCTTCTTAGGAAATGAGGACCATTGCATGGTGACTGTAGTTTGTTTAATTTAAATTATTATTCATTTGTTTTAAAATCATCACTATCTTTTAAAAATATTTTTTAATTAAATCATAGCTGTGTATAATCATCACTATCTTATAGAACTTTCTGCACTGATGGAAATGTTCTATAATCTGCCTTATCAAATATGGCAGTCACTAACCACACGTGGCTACTGAGCACATGAAATGTGATTAGTTCAAGAAAGCAATGGAATTTTACATTTTTATTGATTGGAATTTATATAGCCCCCATTACTTGTGACTTCCATATTGGGCAGTGCAGTTTTAAAAGCTTCCCATCCTCAAGTAACAAGACACATGTGAATGAGTCTGTATTTTGTGGCACTTCATAAAATTTACTTTGCAAAACTCTAATGCCTGATAATTCTTCCAAGTGAGAACTTGTGTGCCTGCATGTTTGTGTATGTCTATATAAAAGATTACTAAAAAAGACTGTTAAGAGAGCTGACATGTCTTGAATTAAATGAAAATATACTGAGTTAAGTTTGCTCATGGTTTCTTTTGTGTGAAACAGAAATTAGTATCTAAGTCATAAGCAGCACAGAGAGGTGTTCACATGTTATTGCATGTGCAAGAGCCACTGCTGTTCTGCCATTGCAGCTCCGTTTTATTTCTAGAGATTGTTTTTGCCAGCAGATGAATGTCCTAAAATCAGCAAGTTCAGCAGTGATGCCTATTTTGACAGTTCTATTCTGGAGTGTCATGGTGTATTTTATTGTCCCACCCTGGTTTCTGAACACATATGAAAGACAATTACTGAACCTAGTCATTAACCTTGGACATGAATAGCTCAAACTGAGCCTCATTTTGTTAGACTCAGCCTGTGCCATTTTGATATGTTGGCAGAGTTTGCAGTGGACAACCATCAGATAGGAAATGAGTGTCATTAGGTTAGAAACAGACCTACCCAAGTCCACTTATTAATGTGGGTAGGAAATTACAACTGGTACAGGAAACAATTTCTGAAAATCTGCATTTACAGTTTTCATTGAGTCTTTATGTTTCCATGACTTTTTGGGAGATACCATGTTACAAATATGTAACTTCGTAAATAGGAGCAGCTTATATTTTTGTATCATCTCAGAGCAAGTGTAGACATTTTATTTTGGTCCTCATAACAGTTGGTGAGTTTATAGGTATTATATTTATTATTACCACTTTTTCTCAACTCTGAGGAGACAAGTAACCTGTCCAAAAGTACATGGCTAATAAATACAGAGGGTACCCAAAACATGTATACAGATTTTTTTTTTTTTTTGAAACAGAGTGTCTAAAGCTGTGGCCCCTGGTAAAGTGCTGTGGCGTCACAGCTCACAGCAACCTCAAACTCTTAGGCTTACGTAATTCTCTTGCCTCAACCTCCCATGTAGCTGGGACTACAGGCGCCTACCACAATGCCCGGCTATTTTTGTGTTGCAGTTGCCATTGTTGTTTGGCAGGCCTGGGCTGGATTCAAACCTGCCAACTCCAGTGTATGTGGCAGGTGCCATAGCCACTTAAGCTACAGGTGCCAAGTCAAATGTGTACATGTTTTAAGAAAAGAAAAATACTGTATTCAATTTGTAATGCTTCTCATTTGGCTTCTGCAAACACAGGAGATGCTCAATGTGACTTGTATTCATCTTTTGCTATTGGTATAGATTGAATATGACAATTTTAATACAGTTTTTTTCTTCCTGAAAATGTTGTATACATTTTTTTGGGCACCCCCTGTAGTATAACCAGAAGTGTGAGGGAGAGGATAAGAGCTGACCCTATTTTTCCCCAGGCTTAGTGGTGGGGGATGAAGTGGGTATAAAACTGAAAACCCAAGGAAATGTAGTTCTTTGGCCCTTTGGCCTGTCAACTTGTGTTAAGGGGACATGTCGTAGTAGATCTTGCTGCCCTACTGAATTGCAGCTTAAGCTACAACATGTGGCCTGGGTTAGTATGATGAGGATTCTGACCTCACCTCAGATGAGTTGTGTGCCAGGTATGTCACTCGAATGTCTTTACCTTCATTTCTTCCCAGATAGACAGTTGAGTGCAACTTCCAAATTTCCTTTGGTAATTCCATGACCTGAAATGTTGCATAAACCAGGGAGTATTCTACATGTGAGTAGGGAGTTTTTAAAAAATATTCTTCAGTTATTCCTGTGTAGCAGAGAAGTGATTTTTTCCTGAACTAAAGTGTAACTAGGAGGGATCTTCACTTGATTGGTTTTAAGGATATGTTGTTTTGTATGTTTGCCTAACATATCTTCTCTCCATATCCTCCCCCTCCCTTCACTATTTTACCCGAAAGTCAGGGGGAGAATGAGCATGCAAATCAAAAAATAGATTGTCATTCCTGATTTGGCTTTATATACTGAAATTTACTCAGTATGTTTAGAGTAAAATCTTTCTATGCTCACCTGTTTCCTACCATAGGGTTTCTGTAATTGTTCTCTTACTCTTTTAAAACAAAAAAACAAAAAACAATAGGCATTTTACCTATTAAGGAATTAAGACTTTTATTGCTACAAGTCAGGAAATTCGTGGCCAAAGTTAGGGATGGGTCAGGCATGTGACAATTCCTGGCAATATCATCTCCATAGGTCAGTAGAACTCTAGTGGAGTTGATTGGTGTACTGATTTATTTGGAACTGAGCAAGAGGAACCCGAAACAGAGCCCATGGCTTAGAGTGCAAAAGTTCAGTGGCAGAATTCTCTCACAGAGATGGTGTAGTTTCTAAGGGAACTCAACATGGTGACGTGTATGTCAGTAATCAGTCCTGTTTTGAATATTATACGGGACTCAAGGTAATCAGAGCATCCTCATGTATTTCTAATTTTGAGAATTGCATAATTGTGCAAATTATTTCTCAAACCCTTGGACCTATGAGAATGTTCCTTGGAATGAAACACTTTTATGCTGCTGACCTATAAATCATAGTGAATAGATTTGAAGCAGATAGGATTTCAAGGCAAGTTTAGAGAGTACATTAACATTTTTTATGTTCACTGCTGGTATTTTCTGGATCTTGAAACAAAGTGCATGTCTGAACCTTCATGACCACCAAGTTCAAGCCCTTTGTGGAATTAGCTGACTATAAACGACCAGCTCCTCCATAATAAGGAGCTGCTATGACAAACATAGAGGCCAGCAGAAATCTATGTCTAGGCTGAAAAGAAAACCTAGTGTTTGACTATGCACTCGGGATACGCTGCTGTGCTCACTGTTCTGTAGTCCTTTCGTGTTGATGTAGGGAAGGAAAAATAGCTTTTGCACTGATCATTAGATTGATGGCTGAGGTCCTTATAACAAAAGACAGATTAACCTGAGAAAAGCATACATATTTATTTAATATAAGTGGTGTTTGACGCAGGAGTCTAAGGAATGAAGAAACAGGAAACCCTAGTTTTTCTATAGCAGATGTGATGAATTGTGGCGAGTCATGGAGAAATATGACAGGACCAAAAGAGTATGATCTAATCCTCATCAACTGGGTGAAACTCAGCTTGTTTCCTTTGTCCAGATGCCTGTCTCTGTGTCCCTGTGTCTTTTGAGATAAAGCTGCTCCTTTCCTCCAGGTTTAGGGAGAACATCTCTCACCTGAGATTCTTAACTGCCCTACTTCAGGGAAGGGCAGGGGAAAGTGACCTTCCTGCACACACTGTCTCTCACATCCCTTCAGCTTCAAATATCTGATGTGCCAAGGTGCCATATTTTCGGGTAGCGTGTGTTGAAGCCCCTCATTTCTAAAAGAAACAGTTGTCATCCAAAGGGTAACATGAAAAGACTAAAGACCCAAGCAGTACTTTATGTTGTAATCACACTTAAGAACCAAGAATTGGACCAAAGGATAGACAGAGATTTAGGCACTAGTATAAGAACAGATGACAGAAAATTAACAGGTCCAACAAGTTAAGGCTTTCATTTGAAATCATTTTGTTAATATAACAGCTCTTAGGGGATACAATAGGGATGGGTGCAGGAGAGAAGTCTGTTTTCAAGGCTTTTGTTGAAGTGTAGAAATGATGGTGGTCTTCAGAAGATTATAATTTTCAACCTAAATTGAAGTGCTTTTTCAATTTTTCTGAATAAATAACTTCCAATTATTGATAAAAGCAAGTGCCTAGTTTCTCTGAACAAAGAAGGAAGCTGCTGTGTGTTGTTGGATTAACGTCTTCCAATAGTGACAAGAAGGTTCGGAAAGAATATTCCTTAGTATTTTCTCCAAGTAGGGGTTAATACAGAATTTGCTTGGGATTGCAAATTAAATAATTGTCCAGGGTTTATTTTTATACCTTGCTAAATTAGTTTCTCTTTTAATCTAGTGATAGATACAGTGATTCGAGTGATGACAGCTTGTCCGAGCAACGGATAGCAGATTTGGAGATAAACTAATACAGGACGTGGAAGGATGTGGACTGCCAGCAAGGGTAAGGTGGAATCTTTCAGTATTGTTTGTTTTATAGATCAGCTGTTGGCTTGGTGTAGAGGGGGTGATCACAGGAATTGTCTCAGAGGATCCTGCTCCCTCAGACATTCTTATTTGATTGGCACAGTTAGCAGGACAGTCATAAGTATGACTATACCTGGAGGCTGTTGTTTGTGGTTAGAGTTGTAATAGTCTAGGTCAGGAGCTGACAGACTTTTTCTGTAAGGCCATAAGGCCATATGGTAAATATTTTAGACCACAGCCACACAGTCTCTGTGGCAACTACTTATCTCTGCTGTCTTAGCAGGAAAGCAGCCATAGATAATACCTAGAGAGATGGACATGGTTGTGTGCCCATAAAACTTTATTTATAAAAAGGTTGCTGATCCCTGGTGTAGATCACTCATAGAAAAGCAGATTTCTTTGGGTTTGTATAAAATAAAATAGTAGTTTTTTTTTCTTTCTTTCTTTGTTTCTTTCTTTCTTTCTTTTTTTTTTTTTTTGGGTAGAAGGATAGAAGAGATAGGCTTGGAGTCTAAGGGCACCTTATTTTCCCTGTGTGTGGCTCTGTTACATGCTATTAGCAAGGATGGCAGCCTGGCTTTATTAAATTTGTGCTCAGAGACAGAGATTTCCTGGGATTGCCCTAGGGGGTATGGCAGGCCTTGATTTGGACAGGCCGTTCTTTAGCAGACAGCAGAGTTAATTGCTCTAGTGTGAGTGTTCTTATTCCACAAAGAGGCGGAACATTCATGTTCATTTGTCTCAAACAGAGATCTTTAGGAGCAAACCAAAAATGGGGCCAAGGTTAGCTGGAGATATTTTAAAGACTTGTATTTTCAGTTTCTGATGTTGCTTATGCTTATATTCTTTTTTTTTTTTAAAGCATCTGAAGTAATTGAACTCAATATGAAGGAACTATCTGAAGAAATCACCACATTCATAGCATCACTCTGTTCTCCACCAAACATGGGCTATAAAGCCTCAAAGTTAATCTAATACATGTTTTCATGAACCAGCACCAAAGGGGTTGTTTTCTTTTCCCTCCAGATGGTGCCTTTGGTACTTAGAAATTTCTGTAGTTGATTAAAAGTTTTCAAGCAAGCATACTGGGGAGAAAGTGTGTTTATGTCTCGTCTGGTGTTTCAGGATGATGAGCAACAATCTGGGTGTATGGGTCTGTCGTATGGACAGGGTAGCCCGGCGTGTGATGTAACTGACTTTATGTCAAAAATTAGTCATTTTGTTAACTTGGAACTTCACAGATTTGTGTTTAGCCTGAGATTACTTCAATTTCTTGCCCTGTTTATTTTCATTTAAAACTAAACAAATCCAAGACTTGGGGTTGCAAGAAAGGCTATAGTTTCAGGCATAAAATTTAAGAGGGGTCCCCAAAACTAAGGAATCAAGATCAGTAATACAGGTTGGGTATACCTTATCTGAAATCTTATAAGGCTAGAAATGTTTGAGGGGGTGGTTAGAATACTTGCGTATACATAATGAGGTATGAAAGGTATAAGGGCTGATGCCAGAGATATTCAGGCTGGGTTTATTGAAAGGGGAAGGTAATCCCTGGGTTGTGCAAAGGTGGCATCTGCTCTCAGGGGCAGTTAGAGACCCCTTTTATATGGAGCCAAGGGGGGTGGGCAAATTCCACAGCTTGCCTGGAAAGTTAGGGTGCTTTGGCACCAACTTCTGGAGGTGGGGCTACCCAGATCTTTTGTGTCTTTGTCTTAGGAGGAAAAGAGGAGGAGGAGGGGAGAGGGTTCATGTGTGCATGTGTTAGGCCCCCCAACATTGTGTACTGGGAACAGAACCCAAGTCTAAACACAAAATTGGTTTCTATTTCATATAAGCTTTATACACTAGCCTGATGGTAATTTTATATAATATTGTAAGTAATTTTGTGTCTGAAACGAAGTTTTGGCTGTGACCCCTCAAGTGTGGTCAGATGTATAATTTTCCACTTGCAGCCTCATGTAGGTGCTCAAAAAGTTTCAGATTTTGGAGTATTTTGGATTTTGAATTTTGAGATTAGGGACATTAAACTTGTTTTTTTTTTTTTTTTTTTTTTTGTTTTTTTTTGTTTGTTTTTGAGATAGAGTCTCAATGATGGCGCCCTCAGTAGAGTGCTTTGGTGTCACAGCTCACAGCAACCTCAAACTCTTGGGCTTAAGCTATTCTCTTGCCTCAGCCTCCCAAGTAGCTGGAGTATAGGTGTCTGCCACAATGTCCTGCTATTTTTTAGAGACTGGGTCACCCTCTGGCTCAGGCTGGTCTGGAAATGGTGAGCCCAGGGAATCCACCCCCCTCAGCTTCTCAAGTGTTACGATTACAGGCATGAGCCACTGCGCCCAGCTTGTATATATATTTTTTAATTGAGGTAAAATCTATATGACATAGAACTAGCCATTTTAAAGTAGACAATTCAGTGGCTTTTGTTGATGTTGTACAACTACCACCTTTATCGTTTTCCAGGACATTTTCATCACTCCAAAATTAACCACTGTATGCATTAGCAGTCACTCCCTGTTTCCCCCTCCTCTCATCCAATGGCAACCACCAATTTCCTTTTTATTTCTATGGCTTTGTCTATTCTGGATATTTAATTATTTATATTTATAGTTAAGGGGCATCATATAATAGGCGCTTTTTGTGTCTGATCTCGTTCATTTAGCATGAAGTTTCAAGGTTCATCCATGTTGTAACACGCATCAGAACTTCATTCCTTCTCATGGCTGAATAAAATGTCATTATATGGGTATACCACAATTTATTTCCACCCTTTGGCTATTATAAATAACATTCACATGCTAATATTTTGGGGATGCCTCTTTTTAATATTTTGGGATATATATCTAGGAGTGGAATTGCTGTGTGGTAATTCTATGGAAAGATCACTAATACTTTGATGCAATTTTTGAAAAAATCAAAAATAATAAAATTCATAGTGAACAAAATACCATATTTTAAAATCAAAACAGGATGCTGCTCTGTACCCTGTTATGGAACATTCTTATTTAGTATGCTTTCTTTCTTTTGAGGCAGAGTCTCATTTTGTCACCCTCAGTAGGGTGCCATGGAGTCACAGCTTATAGCAACCTCAGACTCTGGGGCTTAAGAGATACTCTTGTCTCAGCCTCCTAAGTAGCTGGGAGTACAGGCACCTGCCACAATGACCACAACGCCCGGCTTTTTTTTTTTTTTTTTTAAAGAGAGGTCTTTGGCTCAGGCTGCTCTGGAACCTGTGAGCTCAGGCAATCTACCTGCCTTGGCCTCCCAGAGTGCCAGGATTACAGGCCTGAGCCACTGAGCCCGGCCTCATCTAGTATGTTTTCTAATTTTTCTTGTTGAATGGGCTTGAGATGACTTTGGGTATTTACGCTTTCTAATGCTAATTTAAATATTTTATCTGCCCTGTTAAATTTTTTTGGTGGTTGTTTTTGGCTGCTTTTTATTTATTTTTAATGCTGTAAAGTGTTACAGCATTATCTCATAAGATGCTACAGAAAATTCATCAGCCAAACACAGAAATGAATAATTCTGGTAAACAAAAATATTAAAGCGCTTTAGGGCTCCACTTGTGAAAATTACAGCTTGAAGATCACAAGAGACTCCAAATGAAAAGCCCACAAGGTAGGTTAGAAGCTGGAATAGGCCTCATAGAGAGATGGTTGGAAGCACTGGAGGGGATACTTTAACATCACAAAAGGGTAGTCTGGCTTAAATGAAAGTTTTCAATTTTAATGATTGCCATTTCTAAAGTCCACTATAATGGAGTGATTTTGCTGTTGGCTAATGATGCATGTAAGCAAGACCAGAATGAAGGACACTTAAGAAATAATAACCACTGGGGTATTGCTACAAGAGATTTTTTACCTTTTGGAGGCTCCCCTTGAACTTGGAATGTTGGGAAGCACAGAACAGCTACTAGCATGGCTGCTTAGAATATAGGCTGCTCAAAATACAGGTGCTGGGACAACTGTGGGATGTGAGCTCCTAGAAAATTACACAGTTTCTTGAGCCAGGCATGATGTCGGGGGCTAGGGTGCAGTGGGGAACAACCTACCTTCCTGCTCCTAACTTTCTCTTGGGGGAAGGCAGGCTTTAAACAAATCTACAGGGAAATAAGTAATTAGAATTGTGATATGTTCAGGGGGCTATGTCAATGTCAAAGAATAAGGCCAGAGGACTTGTGGGAGAGGGTAGCATAGGGTATGATGACAAACTGGGGAGTAAAGGAAGGCCTCTTGAGCAAAGTATGTATTAGTGGCTTGCCCACATTTCACAGAGGGCAAAGACTGCCAAGGGCAGTTGGGTGGGTGGTACACTTTTTCAGTGTTGTCGTCATCTGCTTGGTATTAGCCTACAAGCTTCAATGAAGTAAAAGTGTAGGCTGATAGTTAAGTGACAATTAAGAATGGGGCCAGAGGGCTTATGGAGAAGACAAAAACGTTGAATCCCTTCTATTCCTAATTGTGATTTTGCTGCTGTATTTCTTACCTAACACTTTTGTTTTATAGAAGTAAGAAGTACTATTTACCTGCACGTCAGTACTCTGTTAAGGCAATGGCAGACATGGCCCTCACCATCATTTCTTCTAAAGCTGAGGTTCTATAACTCAAAGATGCTGCATAAAATCAGGTGAGATACACAGAAACGTGGGGGAGGAAAAACACTGTTTCATTTACTTACCTTAGGTTTATGACTGAGGTCCCTATAACAAAAGACATTAATAAGAGAAAAGTATACAACTTATTTAATGTGAGTTTTACAGAGACAGGAGCCTTCATAAAGGAAGTAAAGACCCAAAGAAACAGTTAAAGCTGAGGGTTTTTAATGTTCCCTCCCCCAGTTAGAGAGAAGGTGCCAGTCTTATGCTCTGCTTTGGGGGAAGGTTAGAGAGACCTTTCTGCTTCTGTGGTTTTCTCAAAAATTTTCAGTTAAAAATATTTGATATACCAAGGTGCCATATTTTGGGGTAGTGTGTCCTGAGCCCCATCCCGAGCAGCTTTTGATCTTTAAGAGTCATGTCTGTGAATATCACTAAAATATGGTGGCAAGTTTCCCAGACTGCATTCAGTGTCCCCTCTCCTTCAGGGGAGTCCGCTTTCCTTCCCCTGACTTCATCAGTTCTGAGAGCACTTGTAGTGAGAATAAGATTGGAGTCACTCAGCTTAGGGCTGAGTTTAGGTCCCTACTACATGACCTTGACCTTCACCTCCCATCTCTATCTTTGTTGTTTTGTAAATTCAGCTTTAACCTAAAAGTGTATATCTTGAATAGTTTAGGGCAGTAGATTAGGAGATTAACTTTTGAATTAGAATGTTGTTTGGAGTCATGGGTTATGCTGATTATTGCTTATTACAGGTCATGCATGGGTTATGCCAATTATTGTTGTTTAACATATGGGTTAATTATTTTTGTTTAAGGTAAGGGTTAATATGGTTTCACTTTAAAGTTGTACATATAAAACTATAGTTTTGAAAATGGAACAACAGAACAGTCTTGGAGAATCTCCTCTCACTGTTCTCCAGAATTGCTGGCCTTCTGATAATAAAGATTGGTAGACCTATCCCCATCTCTGCCTATTGGCTGGACAGTGACAGGTGACCGCCTAGACCCTTTTTGTCTGGTAGCATTTCCTCTGAGAAGAATACCACCAGCTAAACGCAGGAGAATCCAGTTGATAACGATTCCATTACAGAATTCATTTTTAAGCTTGAATGTTTTAAACTTACACCTTTTTCTTTAGCAAGAAACTGTTTTGAAAATACATGTATTGCTTTGATTTGTTTTCTCTGAGAGTGACTTTGCTTTTAGTTAATCTGCTGGCAATATTCTGTAGAGTAAAATAAAAGCCTTGAACTTGGAGGTTGTAGCCAGTATTATAGGAAACTAAACTTTTCCAGGTTAACTCAACCTGTCTATGGTATTCTTTGAACTATAGAAACCTCTTCGTCACGTGCCACAGGCTGGGATCATGAAACTACTTGTTATAACGATCATTTCTGTAGAGAATTGAATGATAAAAGATCAGTATTTGGCTAAATTACATTATCTACATGTCTGGAGTAGCAATTTCTGAGTTAATTTGCACAAGT